GAGGAAAACCTAGTAGGGTTCCTAAGGTGAAGCTTTCTCTCATGGTGACTCTTGAACGAAATTTGGCTGAATAAGCTCTCAAATTTCATTATTCTCAAAAGTGAATACAAAGAGTGGAAGAATCACTTAAGTAGGGTTCCAAGTGTGCAACTTTGGGCGCCTAAATCCAAGGCTACATGTGGCGCCCAAAATTTGAATTCAAACTTGAAATTTGAATTCAAATTTTGGCTCCCATGTGCTAGTCCGAAAATTTAGGTGCCTAGATGCATTTAGGTTTGATTTGAGAGTTATTTAGGGTTAATTTGAGTGGCACATGTTCAGCCACCCATGGTGCTAAACATGTGACTCAAATGTAACTTAAATGACTTCCAAATTAAACCTAATTTAACCTAATTAGCATACTTTAATATTCCTTGTATTTTCCTATTCTAATGACCTAATTACATTGGTCAAACAAATACAATGGAAAGGAAAAATTACAAGAATGAAAATGAGCCCAATATTGGGTACCAAAAGCCCAAAGGCCCATGAAGCCCAAAACTAGGCCCAACAAGCCTAAAACCTAAAATGCTACTCTATGTGGTCCAAAATACAAGACCAAAATATATTCACATTATGCTAACAAAATTATAATAAGAATGTTCATATCAAGATAGGCCCATGTTGAAACTTGGTTTGGGCCTTCCAAGCCCATAGGGCCCATTGGGCCTTGACTGGCCCAATCTTCCATGTCTAGCCCACTCCTCTTGGATCTTTGAGTATGTCACCTCTTGCACTCCAAAGCATGATTTCATCAGATGGTCACGACATACACCTCCAGCTGCAGCACTCTTGTCTTCAAGACTAACCGAGGCATCACAGTTCAGCTTATATATCCCAACAGGTGGATGAACCCAAGATACTACCTGTTGATCCCTCTTATTAGTTGTTGCAATGGTTTGACATCTAAACTGGGGTATACTATCCTGTAAGATATCCACTTGGACAAGAATTCGAGACACCGGTTCATAAGGCTGAGAAGAAGAGCCCTGAAAAGTGACCTTATTCCTATACTGTCGTAGGATATCCAAAGTAACAACAAAGATCAAGCACCATTCACGACCAGCAAATAGAGCCTTATCGTTGAGATTTGACAGCAACCAGTGTTTAATATCCATACCAAAGAAATCCTAATGTTTTGATCCAGGAAGCACAAAATACCAAATAGCCCGGGAAATTGCACATGATCGAAACACATGATCCACCGATTCCACATCATCAACACATCTCATGCATGAAGCATCTGTTGTCATGTGCCTAGCCCTCTTGATATCATTCGTGAGTAATGCATTAGCAGCAATTTTCCATAGTAATAAACGGACCCTCTCCAGCCAAGGCCAGCACCAAATCCTTTTAAATAACAAGTCATTTTCACCTACACACTCTTGAGTAATATTACTATATGCTGAACTAATAGAAAATTCACTGGTGCTTGACCCTCTCCAAGTCAAAGAATCAACTCCTCGAGCTGCAAGAGGGGGGGCGGAATAGCTCGAATAACATTCAACACTTCCGTGGAAAGGTAAGGCCTAAGGGTTGGAAAATTCCAATTGCCATTCCTTTCAACAAACTCACACACCTTCTTTGGTAGACTCTCCATTGAGGGCATGACATGAGCTGCCTCGGCCAGCTTACCATAGCCTGGGACCCAGTTATCATTCCAAAATGAAACCAACTGCCCATCTCCAATATTCCAAGAAATCCCTTGAAGAAAATAATGCCAAACATTACAGATCCCTCTCCACAAATTTGAATTGGGTCTGTTCGAATTAATAATAGGGAGAATAGACTCCCCACATCGATACTTACACCGAATAAGTTTAACCCAAAGGGCATCTCTACGGGTTCAAAGATCCCAACCACACTTCATCATGTAGGCCATATTACATTTCTTTGACAATCGTAGTCCCAAACCACCACAGGCCTTTGGTCGACAAACCTTTGTCCACTTAATAGTATGAACCTTTTTGTGATTTTTAGTATCTCCCCATAAGAAACTTTAACACTTCTTATCCACCTCAGCAGTGACTGACAAAGGAAGATGAGTGGACTGCATAGCATAATCTGGTAGTGCTTGTAATATTGATTTGACTAAAGTTAGTCTTCCAGCAAAGGAGAGTTGATGGGCCTTCCAATTTGATAATCGCTAATTTATCTTAGACACGATGAATTGAAAGGAACTTTTAGAGACTCTCTTATGAAGAATCGGGATGCCAAGATACTTACCCAAGTCAGAAGATCAGAAGTATGCTGAAAACCCATCTTCTGACTTATAGCTTGTTTTCTATGCCACCCAACATTATTAGAGAAGAAAATCTGGATTTTTTCACTACTAACCTTTTGCCCAGAACTTTTACAAAAAAGCTCAAGAACCTATATTATAACATCTGCTTGCTCCTCACTAGCTTGTGCAAACAAAAGGAGATCATCTGCAAAGGCCAGGTGAGAAAGCTTAGGGGCTTGCCGCGCAATCTGAATTGGCTTCCAAAGCTTAGTCTTGACTGCAACTTGAATAAGGCGAAAAAGTCGCTCAATAAAAAGTACAAACAGGTATGGTGAGATTGGATCTCCTTGTCTGATTCCTCTTTCATGCTTGAACTCCTCAAGCATTTCTCAATTCCACAACACACGCATCTTGGAAGAGGAGATACAATGCCAAATTAGCTCAACACAATTTATAGGGCAACCCACTTCATAAAGAGTATCCCGAATAAAATTCCAATTAAGTCGATCATATTCTTTCTCAAGGTCAACTTTAATTCCCATCCACACTGTAGCACCTTTTTTGTTCTGCGTAGAATGGAAAACTTCTTGAGCAATAATGATATTATCTCTACTGTGTCTATTAGGAACAAAACTAGCCTGACATGGACCCACTAGCTTTTCCATTAACGGCCTTAATCGATGAGAAAGAATTTTAGTAACCACCTTATATGAGACGTTACACAAACTAATTGGTCTGAAGTATTTCAACATAGAAACATGTTGTATCTTAGGAATTAAAGAGATGAATGTATCATTAATCTCATGAAGCCTTTAGGGATTTCTGAACATATCCTGAACAAGCTTAACTAGAGAAGCACCAACCACACTCCATTGAGTCTGATAGAAAATTTCTTGAAAACTATCTGGACCTGGAGATTTGAAAGCACCCATACTTTTGATAATTCAGTGAATTTCCTCAATTGACGCAATTTCTCCTAGGGATTTAAGAGCATCCTCATCCAAGGGGGAAACATACTTTTTACAACAAAATCCTGATAGACCGAACCCGCCCAATATAACCCGTATAAAATCAAAATTTTAACCCGATTTACCTATAAGACCTGCCGAACCCACCCAAAAGAAATATTTTTTTTCGGGTTTTTCGGGTTCGGTTCGGGTGTCAGTTTAATGCTGACCCCTACTTACAAGGGCTTTTTTGAACCAATAACCATGGTCCATAGTCACCAGCAGTTACATCACGTTCAATTGTCTCCGCGATTTTAGTCTTATTAGCCTCCATAATATCCGGATTTGGTACAATCTTCTTTCTTGCCAAGAAACCGTCTTCTCCATGAACCACCCCTTCTACAGTTGCAGCTTTCGTTGCCACTACAACCTCTTCTACCACAGGTTCGTTTGGTTGAGCACCATGAAGATGAGAATTGGTAGCCCTACATCCAATCTGTTCACTACAAGATGAGTCTTTAAGAGTTTTTCCATATCTGAAGTCCCCTCAGAACGACCCTCTGTTGCCTCCGTTGTACCGACCCTTGCTGGTGACTCAGCAGCACTCTCGTCACTGGTCTTCCGTTTCACTTTTCTCGTCACTGGTTTTTCCATATTAAAATATATTACATATTTACTTAAAAAAATATGAAATTTCTAATGGTCAGTACCCGCCCCCCTCTAGATCCGTAAGAGACGGATTCAAAACTCTGGCAAAGGGGAATCAAATTTTTATAATAATAAATTTAAATAAATAAGTACTTTTTTTTAAGGGAATAAATAAGTACTTTAGTATGTGTATTTCACAAATCAAATATTTATTATATAATTGAAATTAAAAATAATTATATATATAATTAAAAATTAT